ACTAGAGGAATCAGTAGCAGATAAGATGAAGAAGAGCATCAAATCTTGAATCTGGAAGAAAAGCTAGCAGAAACATCCAACCAGAACAGTAAGAAGGGGAAAAAAAAAAACATTAAAAATAATGATACTATATAGGACCTCTGGGATAACAGCCAGTGTACCAGCATTTGTATCATATAGATGCGAGAAGGAGAAAAGAGAAAGCAAGGAACCTAAAATCTCTTTGAAGAAATAACAACTGAAAACTTCCCTAGTCTGGTGAAGGAAATGGACGTGCAAGTCCATGAAGCACAGAAATAGCTGAAACATGATGAACCCAAAGCGGCCCACACCACATCATAATTAAAATGCCAAAGGTAAAAGATAAAGAGAATCTTAAATACAGCCATAGAAAAGCAGTTAATGATGTCCTAGGGAGCTCCTGTAAGACAGTCAGCTGATTTCTCAAGAGAAAATTTTCAGTCCAGATGGCGTTGTCACAAAATATTCAAAGTAATGAAAAGCAAAGACCCAAAACTAACATTACTCTACCTAGCAAGGCTATCATTTAGATTTGAAAGAGAAATAAAGAGCTTCCCAGACAAATAGAAGCTAAAAAAACTTCATCACTAATAAACCAGTATTATAAGAAGTGTTCAAGGGACTTATAAATAAAAAAGATCAAAAATTAAACTTAAGAAAATATAGGAAAGAAAAAAATTCTCACTCACAAAGGCAAACACTTAGTAAAAGCAGAGGACCAAACAACTATAAAGTTAGTACAAAGTATAAAATGCAAAAGTAGGAAGATCACGTGTAGTTACAACAATAAAGTAAGGAATACACACAAAGACACATATGAAAGACTAAAAATAATAAACAAATATGGAGGGAATGAGTAAAAATTGTCATGGTATTAGAATGTTTTAAATGGCCACCAACTTAAAATAGACAATTATAAACATAGCTTGGTATATATGAAGCATGTGGTAACCACATATCAAAAATCTGTAAAAGATACAATAAATAATGAATCTAAACATAACACTGTAGAAAGTCATCAACATATAAGAGAATAAGAAAGGAACAGAGAGGAACTGCAAAAACAAACAAAACCATTAATGGTAATAACTGCATGCATATCAATAAATGTAAATATTACATGCTTCAAGCAAAACATATAGGTTGGCTGAATGGACGGGGGAAAAAAGACTGCTACATATAATGCCTACAGACACATGTCAGATCTAAAGACACACAGTATGAAAGTAAAAAAATGGTAAAAGGGATTTCTTGCAAATGGAAATGGAAACAAAAAAAAAGCTGGTGTAGCACTAACTAGAAAAATTAGAATTTAAAACAAGGACTGTAACAAGAGACAAAGAAGGCATTTCAAAATGATAAAGAAATCAATCCAACGAGACGGTAGAACTGTTGTAAACATCTTTGCACCCAATGTATAGGAGTACCTCACTATATAAAACACATAGCAATGGACATAAACAGAGAAGTTGATACTAAGACAATAATAGTAGGGAACCTTAACCACCCCATTGACATCAATGACTAGATAATCCACACAGCAAATCAACAAGCAAAAGAGTGGCCTTAAATGACACATTAGATCAGATGTATATAATTGATATGTTCACGACATTACAACCCATAGCAGCAGAATATACATTCTCAGGTGCATGTGGGACATTTCTCAGGACAAACTATGTGTTAGGCCACAAAACAAGTCTCAGTAAATTGAAGGAAGTAATACCAATCATCTTCTCTGATAACTGCAGTACAAGACTAGATATTGATAACAAGAAAACTGAAAAACATGCGGACGCTAACATGCTGCTAAACAATGAATATATTAACAGTGAGATCAAGGAATATATCAAAAGATACCTTGAGACAAATGAAAATGAAAACACAATGACCAGGTATCTATTGGGCACTGGCAAAGCAGTTCTAAGAGGGAAATTTATAGCAATACAAGCCTACCACAAGAAACAAACAAAAAATTTCAAATAAATAATCTAACTATACACCTGATAGTACTAGACAAAGAAAAAACAAAGCCCAAAGTAAGCAGAAGGAAGGAAAAAAGAATAAGGATCAGAGCTGAAATAAATGAGAGTTCAATAAAAAATAGAAACCATCAATGAAACCAAGACCTGGTTCTTGGAAAAAATAAAATTAATAATCCCATGGACAGACTCATGAACAAAAAAAAAAAAAAAAAAAACTAAAGAAGAAAAAGAGAGGTGAGGGCCAAGTAAGTAAAATCAGGGATGAAAGAGAGGTGACAACCTACACCACAGAAATACAAAGATTTATAAAGACATACTACACATAAGTTTATTGCCACAAATTGGAAAACCTGGAGGAAATCCATACATTTTTAGAAACAACGTACTTACAAGGTTGAATTAGTAAGAAACAGAAAAACTAAGTGAACCAATAGCTATTAAAGAAATCGAATCAGTAATCCAAAAAATAACCAACAAACAAAAAGCACTGGACCACATGACTTTACAGGAAAATTTTAGCTGACATTCAGTGAGGAATTAATAACTATTCTCAAACTATTACCAAAAAAAAAAAAAAAAAAAAGGGAGGGAAACCTCCCAAAGTCAGTTCATGAGACTAGCATTACCCTGATACCAAAATAAACACTACAAAAAAAATTATAGGCCAATATCTTGGATGCACCCAGAGGCAAAAATTCCCCAACAGAATATTAGCAAACTGAATTCAGGAATACAGTAAAAAGTTCATGCACCACGATCTAATCGGATTTATTCCTGGCAATAAGTGTTGGTTCATAACTGCAAAGCATTTAAGTTTACATACCGCATACACAAAGACTAAGCACCATATGATTATATCAATAGATGCAAAAAAAATGTTTTGACAAAATTCAACATTCATTTATGATAAAAACTCAGCAAAGTTGTGATACAGGAAACATATCTCAACATAAAGGCCATACATGACAAATCCACTGACATCTTACCCAACAAAGAAAAGCTGAAAGGTTTTTCTTTAAAACCAAGAACAAAACAAGGATACCCACCTTCAGCACTTTTATTCAACATTGTATTGGAATTGCTAGCCACTGCAATCAGACAAAAGAACTAAAAGGCATCCAGTTTGGAAAGGAATAAGGAAAACTTATTATTTGCAGATATAAAAGACCTATACTCAGAAAAAGACACTGAAGAAACAAATCCACAAAGATACAAATATAAGTATAGATTTTGCTCATAGGTAGGAAGAATTAGCATCACTAAAATGTTCATACTTCTCAAAGCAACCTACAGATGTAAGGCAATCATATCTGAAAACCAGTGTCATTTTTCACAGAACTAGAACAATTATCTTAAAGTTTATGTGGAACCACAAAGACTTTGAGTAGAGGTCTTTAAAGAGAAGAATACAGTCGGAGGTATCACTCCACCTGGTATCAAACTACACTACTGGGCTGTAGTAATCAAAATAGCATGGTACTGACATAAAAACACACACATAGATCAATGGAACAGAAGAGAGTCCGGAAATAAACTCATGCCTGTTCAATAAAAGGTACTAGGATAACTGGAAATGTATGTGCAGAAGAATGAAATTGGATCACTTTCTTATACCATATACAAGAATAAATGCAAAATGTATTAAAGACTTAAATGTAAGACCCCCAACCATAAAACTTTTAGAAGAAAACATAGGTAGGAAACTCTTTTCCCTCACTCTTAGCAATAGTATTTTGGATATGTCCCCTCGGACAAGGGAGCCAAAATAAAAAATAAGCAAATGAGACTACATGAAGCTAAAAAGTTTTTGCACAGCAAAGGGAACTATCCACAAAACAAAAAGACAGCTTATTGAATGGGAGAAAATATTCGCCAATGATATATCCTATAAAGGGTTAATATCCAAATATATAGGGAAATCATACAATGTAACACACACACCCTCCCCTCCCACACCCCCACCCCAATACTTAGATTAAAAAATGTGCAGAGGACCTGAATAAACATTTCTCCAGAGAGGGCATACCAGATGGACAATATCTATTGATACTGAAATATCTATTGATATGAAAAGTTGCTCAACATCACTAATCATCAGGAACATGCAAATTAAAACTACAGTGAGCTATACCACCAGACATCCCTGCAAATGGCTATCGCTAATAACCAACAGCAAGTTTTGGAGAGGATGTAGAGAAAAGGGAATCCTTGTGTACTGATAACCATTATGGAAAACACTGTTCCTCAAAAAATTAAATAGAGAACTACTATATTACCTGGCAATTTCACTTCTGAGTATCTGAAGAAATCCAAAACACTAATTTGAAAAGATTATGCACCCTTATGTTCATTACAACATTATTCACTGTAGCCAAGATATGGAAGCAACCTAAGTGCTCATCAGTGGACAAATAGATAGAAAAGATGTAAACATACATACAGTGGAATATTGCTCAGCCATAAAGGGAATGGTATCTTGCCATCTACAACATGGATGGATCTACAGGGTAGTATGCTAAGTGAAATAGGTCAAACAGAGAAGGGCAAACACTATGTGATTTTAGTTATATGTGGAATTTAAAAAGCAAAATAAATCGTTCCTTAGATTTGGACACGTAGATGTTTGCCGAATGGGAATGAATTTGGTGTGATGGATAAAAAAGGTGAAGGGGTTAAGAAGTACAGATTTACAGTTACAAATATTGTCATGGGAAATACTAACTTAGTATAGTGAATATAACCAATAACATTGTAATAACTATGTTGTAAGGTAGGTATTGTGCTAGACGTATTAGAGTGATCATAAGTTATATAAACACATCTATTCACTGTGTTATACAGCTAAAACTAATATTGTATGTCAACTGCCATTGACAAACAAGAAAAAAAAGTTTTAAACACTGTATACAACCCATCATGCAAAGAGTTCTACAATTTCCCATTGACCACTTGATGTCCTCAAATAGAATCCATCATCATCTGTTTCTTCATTAGGTTTGAAAGCATAGGTTTTGGAGAAAGTCAAAGTGAGGATGAACAGTTTGAAAATGACTTAGAGACAGATCCACCCAACTGGCAACAGCTCGTTAGTCGAGAAGTGTTATTGGGACTAAAGCCTTGTGAAATCAAAAGACAGGAGGTAATTAATGGTGAGTTTAATTAGTTTTTGTTGTTGTTGTTTACCTATACTGAGTTTAATTAGAACAAAAAAATACCCGGAGCCTTTGTTTTTGCTTCAAAGTTTCTGCTTGCCTTTTGTTCTAAACAAAGAGGAAATTAAGCTATGTAGGTGATCCTTGAACTTTAAAACTTGAAAAGTCATTGAGACGACATTGCCCTATTACTTTACTTTCAGGCTAAGTCAATTTTCTGCATAGATTACAAATGAGAATGCTAAGACTCAAGTAATTGAACAAATCAAGATCATAGCTGATAAGTGATAGGGAGAAAACTAGGATTCAGGTCTTTTATCCTAATTCAGTGCTCTTTAAGTATTCATGTGATAGAGATGTGATATGCATGAATGCTGTACCCTCTTCTTTCTTTAGAATATGATTTAAATAAATATCTTCTTGTCCCTGATAACAGTAAGACATAGTGAAATTATAAGTCTGTCCTCAGAAATGAGCATTTATAGGCAAATTAGATAATAAAACTACTGTTACTTTTGAGGAGGGCTCAATTTAAAGGCAATGTGATGTTTGGACTTACTGTTTTCTTACTTATAGTTGTGATTGCTGGGTATTATTGTAAAAAGACAGATGAGTTTGGGAGTACAGTGTTAAATGTAAGATAAAAGTTTTGGAGTACATGTAACTTAAGTACCAAACAGTTTTGAATGATGTTTTTCATTTGTCAGTATTAAACTCTTATAGCTAATGTGTAGGAGGGTTCTGTGGAATCAAGAAAATCACTTCTGAGATACCGCATAGTCTCTAAAGTGTAAATAAATATTATATAAATTATTTGCTAGTTAATTTCAGCTAAAGCCTATATGAATATAGTCAATATTGTACTATGTATCGGGTAAGATCAGTGCTAGACTTTTCATGGAATTATTCTAAGGCAAAATTTTATATTTATCTTTTTTCTCTATAGAATTGTTTTATACTGAAAGAGCTCATGTTCGAACACTAAAGGTTCTTGATCAAGTGTTCTATCAGCGAGTGTCCAGAGAAGGAATTCTGTCACCTTCAGAATTACGGAAAATTTTTTCAAACTTAGAAGATATTCTTCAACTTCACAGTAAGAGAAATTGACTCTAATCTTTGTCCCTAACATTTCCAATAGAAAAAAGATTGTGAGCATATAAAGATACGGTAACAGTGGTGTATCCGTGTTAACGTCTGAAATTATATATGTGAACACATCTTCGAATATGTCCCGCTCAACCCTAAACCAGCCTTTTCTATACAAAGGATTAACAAAGGACTTAGGATCTAATGTCAGTGTTTAAGGTGAAAAACATGAGTAGTCAAAATTACCCTTGAAAATTTTGTATCAGTTACAGTACATGTATTTTTAAAAATAAGTATCCCATATAATATGTATATGTATAAATGAATTTTGAAAATAGTTATATTCAGTATGTAACCCCATGATGGTATCATTTTCAGGAATTGTTTTATTTTTATTTGTTTATTTACTTTTTTGCTTGGAACATTTGAGTATAGAAAAATTCTTTCTTGCTGGCTTCCCCTGGTTGAACTCATCTCATACTTTCTAGTCAGTACTATTAGTTCCTCTCTTTATAAGTCATTCTTTCTCTGTGACCCTTTTTCATTTTTCTTTCATCAGGGATAGGATGGGCTTACCACCTTTTAATACCTGCTCACCACATTAAAGCCATTTACTTCTTTGGGGGTGATTTTAGGTTTCACTGCCATGCATTGACAAGTTAGGGCTTGATTATATCCATTGCTTGTGAATGTACACATTTTGAGAGAAATAGTAGGAAGAATCACCTGCACTATTTAAATTTAACTTCTTTATAACCACAGTTATAGATCAAGTCATGAAGTTAAATGAAAATATGATTTACCTAACCTGCATGGAATTTGCTAGTTTTCACATTGTTTTACCCTTTGCCACCTATTTTTCAGAAAAAGCTCATAAATATCTATGGGTGGGGTGGACCCCCCCCCCAAGAAAACCTTGGAATTTATTTATTAAAAACTGTGTATTTATTCTTACATGCTTAAATTTTAGTCACCTTCCAAGTAATCTCCATTTGATGCAGTACGCCTATTGAGAATTTTTTCCACTACTTGAAAGTTTTTGAACTCGTCGATTTTGATGCCTTTTAAGTGCTTCTGCTGTTTTTTGTTTCACCTCTTCCACATTGGCAAAATATTTCCCTTCAAGGACTGTTTTCATCACGGGAAACAAAAAGTCGCTCGGGGCGAGATCGGATGAATATGGAGGGTGGGGCATGGAAATCATGCTATTTTTGGTCAAAAATTGCTGAACATTCAGTGCAATATGGGCACATGTGCTCGTAAATCACCTGCCATGAAATAAGCAAGTGCACTGAGTCTTCAAAAAAATTCACTGAAGCCAAACATGGCCTCTCACGATACCACCAGCTAGTACATTGATACAGATGAGTTCCTAGAACACTCACCTAGGGGCCACCTCTACAGAAGATAATTCCAGTTTTTGGGGGGACCCACTCGGAGATTTATAAGAATTGTGTCCAAACTTATTTTTAGGAGAAGATTTAAATTCTTGGTACTACCAGTAACTTCAGCCTGAAATGAGTATATGCTTAATTTTTTTTCCATTTTATTTTTCCCCTTTTAGTTGGGTTGAATGAGCAAATGAAAGCCATTCGAAAAAGGAATGAGACCTCTGTTATTGATCAAATTGGGGAAGATTTGCTGACCTGGGTAAGGAAATGTGCTATTTTATTTTAATATTTTTATAGCTATTTGAAGATCAGATTCAAGTTTAAGTAAGTAGCCTTTCCAAATACACAGACTCATTCATTTTTCAAAGCTAATGTAAAGATGAGGAGTCCAGAGTATGTGTTCTTTGGTTAATATCTTCTATTAAGTGCTCAATCAAACTAAGTGCTCTTTTTTAAAAAAAAAATCAAATTAAAGATACTAGTTCTTTGTGTTTTAAAGAATGTAGAGTAAAATGAATTTTCATAAAAATAATTTAACTGACAGAGAATTTTAGCTATCTCCTGCTGTCCAAATCTTAGAATTATACAGCACATTAAAAAATTGTAGATCCGGAATTCACCATCACAAAAGTAGAAAAGAGAAAATCACTTATTTAATATAATAGAAGAGTTCAGAGACTATAGTAGCTATTTATTAAGTTGTGTTTATATTTCTTTCTGACTTTGTCATTGTATACCTTCCAATATATATTTACCGGTATGTGCCAAGCACTGTGCTAAGAATGCAGAAGCAATCAAAACAGACATGGTTCCTGCCCTAGTGGAGCTCACAATTAATAGGAAAACTGTTGTTAGTTACATCAAGTTTGATGAGTGTTACAAGAAGGGGAAGAATACAGGTTATGGGGATATTTAGAAGGAAGATCTAACCTTGAACATACAGATAATCTTCCTATAGGAAAGGGAATTTGATTCAAACTTTTAAAGAAATTACTATACTTAAGTCTGTAGATAATAGTAAAGTATATCACGTAGTCTACAAAAATTTAACACAGTTGAAAAGACACAGTTTAGATATGTCCATAGAAATTTACTTCAGTATGTAGTCTGCCATGAGATTTTGGTAATTTTACAATGATAAATTTGTAAAAGATTAAATACAAGTTCACTAAAGTCTTTATCCTAGTCCTTTCATGGATGGTAATATCATGGTTTAGAATCTGCTAATCCAATAGTTGATCTCTTCTTAGTCACTTGATTCATAGAACAGGCTTAGGCAATCGTAATCCAGTCCTATTTTTCATTTACTCAATGTTCCAAAGCAATTTCTCCCTTGGCCCACTCTAGGATCATTGTTTTGAAGGAGATTTACTTCCTTGAAAAGTTCAACTTACTCTATGGCTATTCTGTGATAGTCTATGATTCATTTTGTTTCTTGGTGTCATTGTAGCAGTGAAAGTTATAACTGAGTTCTATTGGCTTAGCAGCAGACTACTTAACTTGAAACAAAAAAATTGTAGTATGGCATAGTGGAGCATCAATTCATGTCAAATGTGGATTAAAAAGTTGTAAATCATATGGACTTAAGATATCAATCTTGATTCTAAGGAGTTTCATTTGCACCTCATGTAAAATAGTGTTAAATGACGTCTCTGGTGACATTCATCTTTAGTATGAAACAGAAGTGCAGTTGGTCCTCTTATCAGAGTCTGTTGGATTATATGTATGCATCTGTGTGTTAAAACAAAGCAGAAAAACCTGTTAATAGAGTGGGACAAAAATTTTAGTACATGTAAAATTAAATGTATTCTTTTTAATATTATTTTTCAATTACAACTTACATTCAGTGTTATTTTGTATTAGTTTCAGGTATACAGCATAGTGGTTAGATAAACATATACTTCACAAACTGTTGTCCTGATATTTCTAGTACCCACCTGGCACCATATATAGCTACCACAGTATTTTTTGACTATATTCCCTATGGTGTACTTTATATCCCCATGACTGTTTTATCACCAACAATTTGTACTTCTTAATCCCTTCACCTTTTTCACCCAGTACCCTAAACCCCTCTCATCTGGCAGCTGTCAGTCTGTTCTCTGTATCTATGAATCTGTTTGTATTTTTTTTGTTGTTTATTTTGCTGTTTAGACTCCACACATAAGTGAAATTATACAGATTGTTTCACATAGCATAACACCTTCTAGGTTCATCGTTGTCTCAAAGATGGTAAGATCTACTTATTTTTTATGGCCAAGTATATATGTACCATATTTTTTTATCCGCTTGTCTGTTGATGGACAGTTGGGTTGCTTCCATATCTTGGCTATTGTATTATAAATAGTGCCACAGTGAACGTAGGGATGCATATATTGTTTTAAATTAGTGTTTTGGGTTTCTTCAGATATATACCCAGGAATGGCACTGCTTGGTCATAAGGCAGTTCCATTTTTTTTCTTTTTATTTCTTTATTTTATTTTTTTAATGTATTTTTCATTTACATCTTTTTTTAATTGTATTTTTTCTATTGCCATTTTGTCCCCTTGTACCTCCTTCCCCCAGCAATCACCACACTGTTGTCCATGTCCATGAGTCCTTTCTGCTTTTTGCCCAATCCCTCCATCCCCTAATCTCCCCTCCCCACTTTAGCTATCATTCTGTTCTCTGTGAGTCTGTCTTTGTTTTCCTTGTTGGTAGAGTTTGTTCACTAGATTCCACATACAGTAAAATCATATGGTATTTTCTTTCCCTGACTGGCTTATTTCACTTAGCATAATGTTCTCCATATCCATCCATGCTTTCACAAAGGATAAAATTTTCTTCTTTTTTACAGCCAAGTGGTATTCCATTGTGTAGATGTCCCATAGTTGTTTTATCCACTCATCTATTGACAGACGCTTGGGCTGTTTCCATATCTTGGTGATTGTAAATAACACTGAAATGAACATTGGGGTGCTTATGTTCTTTTGAATTAGTGTTTTGGGTTCCTACAGATGTATTGCCAGAAGTGGGATCACTGGATAAAAAGGCAGATCCATTTTTAATTTTTTGAGATAACTCCACACTGCTTTCCACAGTGGCTACACCAGTCTGCTTCCCCACCAATAGTGCAGAAAGGTTCCCCCTTCTACACATCCTTGCCAGCACTTTTTTTGCTGATTTACTGACGATAACCCTTCTGACAGGTGTGAAGTGATATTTCACTGTGGTTTTCATTTGGCATTTCTCTGATGATTAGTGACATTGAGCATCTTTTCATAGGTCTATTGGCCATCTTGTTTTTTGTTTGGTGTTGAGTTGTCCTAGTTCTTTGTAAGTTTTGGATATTAACCCCTTATCAGATGTATCATTCACAATATGTTCTCCCATTCAGTGGGTTGTCATTTCATTTTGCTGATGGTACTGATTCCTATGCAAAATTTTTAGTTTGATATAGTCCCATTTGTTTATTTCTTCTTTGATTCTTTTGCCCAAGCAGTTATGTCAGAAAAAAAATATTGCCAAAAGAAAAGTCAGAGATTTTTACTGCCTATGTTTTCTTCTAGGAGTTTTATGGTTTGGGGTCTTACATTTATGTCTTTAATCCATTTTGAATTTATTCTTCTAAGAAGGTGATCTAGTTTCAGTTTTTTGCATGTATCTGTCCAATTTTCCTAACACCCTCTATTGAATATACTATCTTTACGCCATTGGATGTTTTTGCCTTCTTTGTCAAATATCATTTGAACACATAGGTGTTGGTTTATTTCTGGTCCCCTATTTTGTTCTATTGATATATGTGTCTGTTTTTATGCCAGTACCATACTGCTTTGGTTATGATAGCATAATAGTATGGTTTGATATCATGTAGCAGGATACCTCCAACTTTGTTCTTCTTTCTCAGGATAGCTGTGCCTTTTCTGGGTCTTTTGTAGTTCCATATAAATTTTTGGAATATTTCTCCTAGTCCTGTGAAGTATGCCATTGGTATCTTGATAGGAATTGTGTTGACTGTAGATCACTTTGGGTGTTATAGACACTTTGATGTTAATTCTTCCTATCTATGGACATAGTATATGCTTCTACTTTCTTTGTGTACTACTTCTAGAAAGAAATTTCTTTCTTTGTTGCCTTATAATTTTTTGAGTACAGGTCTTTTACATCCTTGGTTAAATTATATTTTTTTGAGTCAATTATAAATGGGATTGTTTTCTTAGTTTCCAATTCTGATAGCTCATCATTGGCACATGTTTATTGATAGTTCAATAAAAAGTACAACCAATATCTGAATATTTATTTTGTATCCTGCTACTTCACTGAATTCATTTATCAGTTCTAGTATTTTGGGAGGTGGAATATTTAGGGTCCTCTATATACAGTATCATGTCATCTGCAAACAATTACAGTTTTACTTCTTCCTTTTCATTATGAATGCTTTCTGTCTCTTATTGTCTGATTGCTGTGCCTAGGCCTTCCACTACTATGTTGGATAACAGTGGTGATAGTGGGCATCCATGTCTTGTTCCTGATCTTAAGGGAAACACTTTTAGATTTTCCATGTTTCATATGATGTTAGCTGTGGATTCGTCACATATGGTCTTTATTATGTTGCATTTTCCCTCTGTTTTCACTTATCTTAGAGTTCTTAATAATAAATTGGTCTGGATTTTGTCAAATTCTTTTTCTGTTTCTTTTGATATGATTGTATCATTTTTATCCTTTATTTTTTTATGTGGTGTATCACATTAATTGATTTGTGAATATTACGTCAACCTTGCATCCATTCCACTTGGTGATGGTGTGTGATCCTTTTTTGTTTGTTTGATATTTGTGTGTGATCTTTTGAATATGTTGGAATGAGTTTGCTCATATTTTGTTGAGGATTTTTGCATCAATGTGTATCAGGGATATTGGTTTATTTCTTTGTGGAATCTTTATCTGGTTTTGCATTTAGTATAATACTGACCTCATAAAATGAGATTGGGAGTCTTCCCTCTAGAAATTTTTGGACTAGTTTGAGAAGGGTAGGTTAGTTCTTTGAATGTTTGATAAAATTCACCTGTGAAGCCTTCCGGTCCAAGACTTTTGTTTATTGGCAGTTTTTCTTTACTACTAATTAAATTTTGTGGGTTGTATCAGCCTGTTCAGACTTTGTGTTTCTTGATTAGTTTTGGAAGATTGTATATTTCTAGGAATTTATTTATTCTAGATTGTTTCTTTTGTTGGCGTACAGTTCATAATATTTTCTTACAATTCTTTGCATTTCTGTGGTATCAG